GCCTATCAGACACCCTCATGCAAGATTAAATTTGGAAGTGAGCAATGTGAAAAAGTTTCCATTTTCCTGATGTCAGTGTTGGCAGAGCTTTCAGAAACAGGAGGGTTCAAAACCTGATGCAGAAGTGGCATTGATGGCAGTAGCACTTGCACAAAACCAAGATGCTGGTATTTCGGGCTCAGTGGCAGCAGCAGCAGCAGTTTGTACCACTTATTAAAATAGAGAACACGAACCACAGATCCCTGATCTAGATAATTTTGTGGCATGTTTTAGGCACTGCTCCTGTTTTAGGCACTGCTGCCTTGAATATTTCTCCAGCCATTCTGATAATTCTGTGGGCTGCTTCATGTCCTTTAATAAATTAGTTTTTAGTTAAGCCAGTCAGGATAAAATCTGCTGTTTTCAACCAAGAACACTAACTGTCATCTTCATCTTTCCCCTCTTCCTCGACTTCTGAACCAACAGAATTTACAAGACAAGACTCCTTACTTTTCTCTGTCCCCACTGCCACTTAGTCTAGGCCACATCATCTGTTACCTGGGTGACTGCAACGCTGTCCAATTTGACCACTCACCCAGTTTTGACCTCTCCATGATAGCAGCCAGGTGATCTTTCTAAAATGCAAATCTTATTCTGTGATTCTTTGGCTTAAGACCCTTCAATGGCTCCCTAATACCATTATATCAAGTCCAAACTCCTTGATATAACTCTTGATATAAATAAGGGTTAAGTTCCTACATCATCTCATCAATGTTATAATGAAATGAAGTTGAATGAAATGATGCTATTTGAGGACCTGCTGTACTTATGCTGCTTTCAGAGTCTCCAAAAGCAGGGGCTTTCAGGGTCTAGGCCTGGATGGCCTTTCTAGCTCATCCTGGCCAAGCCAGTTCCTCACACCTATGCTCTAATCATGCTCCTTTCTTGCTCTGGACCAGCAGCAATGGATCCCCTAAGGTCCTGTTAGACATGTAGATTCTCAGCCCTACTCCAGACTTACTGATTCAGCGTCAGCATTTAAACAAATCATGAGGTGATTTATACGCATATTGCAGGTTGGGTTGTGCTGCGGTAGAGCATTGTACTTTCTTCCCCTGGGACTTTCACGCATCTGGCTTCCTCTGTTGCACTATCTTTCCTCTTCTTTACACATTTAACACTGTTCTGCAAGACTTATCCAGGAAAACATCTGTGACTGGTTTCAGCTGGGTTGGGGGCTTTCGTTTGTCACTACAAACATGGCATTTATTCCTTTGTACTGTAATGATGTTTCTACTTTTTTTTCTTTCCCATTGAATAGAGTTGTACTTTAGAGTTGACTGAGAACTTAAAAAAAAATACATAAATTCCTGGGTCCTGTCCCCAGAAATTTTGAGTTTAATTGGTTTGGGTAAGGCCTAGACACTGGTGTTTTAAAAACGTGTCTCAGATAATTATAAGGAAGAGGCATATTCAGAACTAGACTTTAAGCTTCTTGAGGACAGGGATTATGTGTCTTATTCACTGTAGTATTCTCAGAGTCATCCGCCATGGTGTCAGATACTTAAACAATACTAGTACATAATTGTTGCCCCTAGTTTCTCAGGAATGTTGAATCAGATTTGCGTTGTGCTCACCATCCTACCTTACACCCCAATCCCTCTTGAATGTGTTAATAGCTGAAATGCGTGTTCATCTTGTTAAAACATGGAGCCATTTCTTGAGGAAAGAATTTGAAATGGCACTTGAAACATATTAACATTGTTTTGAAACACTATCTCTACACACCAGTTCTGTAAAGCAGAACCACTAATTCTTCGCATATAAACCTCTTGGGCCCTGAGAATTCACGACAGTGAGGAGGTTGATGATATAGACATGACTATGACAAGTGGGTTTTCTAGAAGTTAACCATAGTTTTGTGGGAAGTTAAAAAAATACATTTGGGAGAGTTTTTTTTTAAAGTTTACACCCCATTTTCTTAAAATTTAAAATGACTTCTTAAAAAAACTCTTAATATCTTATATTTATGTAGTGTTTTATATTTTAGAAGTCATTTCATATCCATAATCTCATTTGGAGATGTCCCCATATCGTAGACGAAGAAGCTGAGGCCCAGAAAATGTGAATAACCTGCCCCAAATAAAACGCCAAAGTAGAGATAAAGCCAGACTACCACGCAAATCTGATTCAAGTTCAATTCAATTTTTTTTTTCACTTTGTCTACGGCATTTTCTAGGCACTTCTGATTGACTTTTGCAGCCAAGAAGGTGACTTGAAATAAACAGATTAGGTGGATCTGGGCTGAAAGCCCAGCCTCACTGCTTCCAAGCAGTGACCTCAAGCAGTGAGTATAGTGGTTAAGAACACAAATTCTAGCACGAGATTGCCTGGACTTATAATACTGTTTCTTCCAATTGCTTACTATATGGCCTTGGGCAAGTGCCTCAGTTCCACAGTCTGTAAAATAGAGATAATAATATGACCTACTTCATAGAATTCCTGTAGGATTAAGTGAACTCCTTTTAATTAATTAATTAATTAATTAATTTTATAACGAAGTGAGTTACCATTTGTAAAGCATTTAGACTCATGCTTTGGGCCAAGGTAGGCATGATGTAAATCTTTCTTAAGTAAAAATCTGGTTTGATCCTATTATTTTACACCTAAAGTCATTTTTTCAAGTCACACGTTGTGATAACTTATATTCAATTTTCATTAAATATCTTTTTCTGGATATCGATCACATATAGTATTACAGAAAAGAAATGGTGTGGTCGATAAATTTTTTCTGTTCTGGAGGAGTTTATGATCTCTAGAGAGATGGAGCAATGTACATAAGAGAGCCTGGAGAGAGCACTTCCTTATTTGTTATTGTTAACAGGTCTGAGGGAGGCAATGGCTCTCTCTGTAGCTGCTAGGTTTCCCAAACATGATTCTTGTTTCAAAAATCCTATGTTCCATTTAATAACTTTCTTAAGTCCTGCATTATGAACTTCAGTGGGCTTGTCAGAACCTGGGAGAGTGTGAAGAGGGAAGAAGCACCAGCCCCCTCTTGCTGCAGGGACACTCAGAGCCACAGCCTGGTCATCATTCCGACTCTTCCCTCTCTGGGAAACCATTCAGGCTCCAAAAGCTTGAAATAGGGCCAGCGATGAAAGTTTTCATCTACCCAAAGCTTTTTATCCCTCGTATTCAAAGTGAGAGAGACCAAGCCCCCAGTTGCCCAGGGAAGCAGTGATACCAAGTCAATTAGCAGAATTTCTAGGGCATCGAACTACTGTTATTTTCCTTCTATAAAAAGCTAGTAATGAAGATTAATTTCCCTTCCTTACTGTAATCCCTTGTAATTAATATCAGCCATTTTGGGGATTTCTAAATAAGATACATGCCTGTGGTTTGGGATAGTTTGTGCTAGTTGGAAAACTAGCTGGCATATTTAGGGGCTGAGTGTGCATTATGGTCTAAATATCTCCATTCTGTATCAATTGAACTATCTATTTATTGCTATCTTGTGACTGATAGAACTAACTAAAAGTAATAGGTCAGCAATACTAAATGGTCCTTTATAACTCAGGAGAGTGATGTATTACAAAAAATTTGAAGCAAAACTTGAAAACCAGGGAAGATGAATTAATATTGTTATTGTTATTCTAAAATTAAATATACTCTGATATTACCCAGATAGATTCTTAAACATTTATAATGTCTTAGTTCTATAGTTCTGAGACGACTTAATCTCTGGGTATTAAAAAGAGACATTTAAGATCTCTTTATACTTAAATATCAAAGTATAAACATCTTTATACTTTAACGTGGATATGACAAGATGAGTGCCTTGTCATCTCTATGTTAAATTTTGTTCATATTAATTACATAACTTAGGTGCTATCTAAAATAAAGAAGAATTTCAGTCCAAATGTCTTTTTGCAGAAGATTTTGTGACCGAGAATTCAGATCAATGGATATTATTGGTATTTAAAAATAGATATTCTCATAGCCTTAAAAATCAGAGGTTAAGAATCACACATGCACCACTTCATACTGACTAGGATGGCTATACATTAAAAATGAAAATAATAAGTGGAGAATAATAATGATAAAGTAATAATAAAATATAAAATAATAAGTGGAGAAACTGGAACTTTTGTACATTGCTAGTGGGAATATAACATGGTACAGCTCCTGTGGAAAAGTTTGGCGGTTCCTCAAAAGGTTAAACAGAATTACCATATGACCCAGCCATTAAAAATAATTCAAAATAATTCAAAACAAGAACTCAAACAGATACTTTTTGTTCATAGTAGCATTATTTATAACAGTAAAAGGTGGAAATAATTTAACTGTTTCTTAAGAGAAGAATGGATAAACAAAATATGGTATATACATATAATGGAATATTAGCCATAAAAAAGAATGAAGTTTTGAGACATGTTACGACATGGATGAACCTTGAAAACATTATGTTAAGTAAAATAAGCCAGACACAAAAGAAGAAATATTGTATGATTCCATTTATATGAAATATCTAGAATAGGCAAATTCATAGAGACAGAAAGTAGATTGGAAATTATGTGGAGGCTGAGCGGGGAATGAGGTGTTTAATGCGTGCAGAGTTTCTGTTTGGGGTGCTAAAAAATTTTGGAAATAGTGATGATGTTGCAAACATTGTGAATCTATTTAATGTCACTGAAATTTACACTTAAAATGGTGAAAAAGGCAAATTTTATCTTATACAATTGACTCTTGGACAACATGGGTGGTTAGGGCATTGACCCCTGGTGGAGTCAGAAATCCATGTATAACTTTTGACTCTCCCAAAACTACTAATAGCCTACCGTTGACTGGAAGCTTTATGAGTAATATAAACATACTTGTACATTATATGTATTATATACTACTGGCGCAGTCCAAACTATGTTGTTCAAGGGTCAACTGTATGTATTTTACCACAATTAAAAAAAGAGGAAAAATTACATTTATAACATCACCTATTGCTTACTTTCTTACAGCCCTTTCAATATTCATAGGTCTAACTACATAGTACAGACTAGATGTCTCTCTAATACGGGGACTATATTCTATATCTGGTGGTATAATTGATTAAGTTCACGTTTGCTCTGGACCCCTGAATTTAAATGTAGCCTTCTGAATTTAAGTTTTCTGTCCTTTCTGCAGAAGAATCCTCACTGAATGTTGACTCAAACAGAGCTAGAATGGACTTCTTGAAAATCTTTTTGAAGTTCTCCCCAATAAATAGGTAGAGTGTGGGAGAAAAGACAGTATTGAAAAAAATGCTTATCACTGTAAGTATGGCAGTCAACTTTAAAAGCAATGATTGGTTCCCAATGAGAATTAAGCCCTGGTATACATGGTAGGGCATCCAACACACAAAAAAAGAGATAATGGCAGTCATTATGACTTTCAAGGGCTTATTGGATTTAAATAGTCCCCTCGATTTCATCTTGCTAGCTACTCTTCCATAACAAAAACTGATGATGGAGAAAGGCAGAAGAAAGCCCAGAAAGAAGCGCCCGATGAAAAAGGCTACATGAATCCACTTTCTTAATGTTTGTATCTTTTCGCTTTCCCAGTTCGAAGACACAGCATAGTTATTTCGGCAAATCACCATTCCTTTATGGTCTTCATGTGTCTCCCTGAAAACCAAATAGGGCAGGCCGAGGGCAATGGCAGAGATCCAGACTCCCAAGATGATGCTGGAAGCCCAGCGTGGAGTTCGGTGCAGCTGTGACCACACCGGGTGAAGAGTAAGAAGATAACGATCAACACTGATGGCTGAGAGGAAGAAAATAGAGGCGAACATTACTGTAGACAAAATGCTGTTGAAGATCTTGCACGTGGTGGTTCCAAAGCTCCAGTGATTGTTCTGAAGGGAGGAGGTGGCTATAAATGGCAGAATCAATGTTGAAATAAAATATGAGAGAATGAGATGAAAAAAGAAAAGCGTGTTGACAGTCTTTTTCATCTTGAACTTTAGCACCCATAAGTAGAGACCATTGGTGATAGTACCAATTGTAGCTGACATGAACAAAAGAATGACAATGATCATTTTTGAGGCAGGAGCTGGTAAGTGAGTGCTGTTTCTTACTAAGGTAGAGACACTGAGCAGGTAATCAGTAGCGTTGATCAGATCCATAATTACCTGTGGAATGAGAAACTAAAAATAACAAAAAAGAAGCAAAAGAAAAGTTTAAATATAGAAACTAAAATACTTATTTTTGCACAGTTACAGTCAAAATGACAATATTTTTTAGATGGCAAACATAATATTTCTGTAATAACTCAAATCAGATATTTTCCCTAAGGTCCATATTTTTATTTTGTATTAGGAATTAAGATCAGATTAATTTGAGCATCAAAAAAAAAAAAAGAAAATACTACAAATGAAATGAAATTAATGTGAAATGAATATTTTGACTTCCTTAAGTAATTAATTTAGGTAGCTAAAAATCTTTTATTTAGACATTAACCAGAAGCCTGACCCTTCTTGGTAAGTACAACTTCTTGAATAAGTCAATGTAGAGTCTGTTTTACTTGACTAAGACTTGATCAGAGCAAGTATTGCTAATGAGATTGAATAACAAAATAACACGTGCTGCAAATCAGTAATCATGAGGAGCTATAATTAGATTTCTCTCAAAAGCTAATTATATATAGTAAATGCTATTACCTACTATTCTAACACTCAGCACATAACAGCAAGAACTGATAGTCACATGGGAGTCCTAGGGCACCGTAAGATTGTGAAGTGCCTTCAGAAATATCAATGAAAGAGGAAAGTGTATTGTAAAATATAGTAGTAGTTCTCTCTTATTTGAGGAGGAGAAAGAGGGAGAGAAGTCAAGGAACTGATATTTCTTTAATACTCGTTATATATCAGGAGCTTTATATGAAAATAATTTCTTCTTTTCCTCGCAAAGGCAAATATGTAAACAGAGGAGAAAGCGAGGCTTACAAGGATTAAAATTCTTATTCATCATCATCTCCTACCATGCCTCCATTGTGCCAGGTAGGGAACACTACCAGTGTCTGATGTTACTTCTTTGAAAATTGGTAATTCTTGTATAGTATTTTGATACTGCTGTATGGGTCAGAGTATTTGATTATCCAAAATATACCATTTCTTGAATAATAGTTTCTATAGTATTGAAAATATAAACCTGAGAATGTTTTGGAAAATAGCTATCATAACAGACTCATACCAAGAGACTAGTTTTTGGTAAATTGGATAAAGCAATGCAAATTACTAATTTTTTTTTTTCACTAAGCAAAGATGTTCTAAGAATACACACATACACACACACACACACATATGAAATAAAAAATTGCTATTAAAATCACAATTGCTTTAAGTTAATTATGCCTTCTAAGGGAGTTGCAAAGTTTTTCTTCAAAGTAGGAAAACAGTTCTCTTCAGGAAAATACCTTAGTAGTCTGCTTTGGGAAAAAACAGTGAAGTCTAAGGACATGGAGTGGATAGGCAATGGTGAGTGAAGGAGTGGGAACCTGAGAAAGAGGCTGCATGAAGGTCCTGGGACCATGAGAAGAAGGAGGAAGTGTGAAGATGTCTTCAGAGAGGAGGGCACAGGGAAAACACTGCAGGAAGTTAGGAGGCTTGAGGAGCAGAAAGAGTCAAGGGGATATTCTGATGAGCAGAAATGACCCAGGAAATTTAAAATGAGGAATGTCTAATATTCAATTTTAATCCATTTGCTATGCTTTGACATACTGTAATGTCCTTTTCATTAATTGCAACTGTCTTGTGTTGATGGTTGCTCAGGGAAATTGAAGGCAAAGCACTTGTGTTCCCTATTTGGGATAGAGTGGGATGGAGAGAAGAGGCCAGCAGCAGTAGGTGAGATGTGAATGAAATGATGAAAATGGTGCAAACTGGACAGATATTAGGGTACAGTAGACAAAGAGAAACAAAATCTCATAGAGAATTTCTGATACAGTTCGTATTTGGCCTGTGTGTGTGTGTCTGTGTGCCTGTAGTCTGTTTGTATATCTGCAGTGTATTCGTGTGTATGCATGTGGCTATACAGTCTCTCTGTGCGTCTCTGTGGAGTGTTTTAAATCCATAGAGGAGTGTGTGTGGAACTGTGTGTGTGTGTGAGATCTGTGCATCTGTGCTGTATTTGTGTGTATGTGTGTATATTTGTGTGTGGTCTCTGTGTGTATAGTGTATAGTGTCTGTGGTCTGTGTGTATTCATCTGCGTAGTGTGTGTATGGGTGGTGTTCGTATGTCTGGTATGTGTGTGTCTGTGTGGTCTCTTTGTGCATGTGCATTTGAGAAACTGGATTCCTGAATTATAGGAAGATTTAAAGAAATGTGTGGCTGAACTCAGAAGGGCATCTGAAAGTAATGTAGGGCTTGAGCAAAATCAACATTGGTAGTGGTTCTGAATGCCACATAAATTTTCCTAGGAACTTTGATTTATTGCACATAACCAGATTTCTCCATCCTTAAACATCTTTTAAAATGGTTTTAAAGTACATGAGTATAAATTGGTGGGACAGAGCTCAGGCTCTGGCATCCTACAGAACTGGGTTTGGATCCTACCTCTACCACTTACCAGCTTTGTGACATTGAAGTCTTAATTCTGACCCTTTTTCACCTTCTAAACCACAATTAGTTTTTATGAGGACTAAATGAGATAATGTATATAAATCACGTAGCTCCTCTCATGGTGCATATTAAGCACTCAATAGCTTTATACCTATTATTTCACTCAACTTGTTATGTTAAGGCTGCAAGAGCCTCATTTTGCCCTTTTAATGTCACAGGCCACACTTCTTTCCTCCCTAAAGCCTCTCTACTGAATTCTAGAGTATCATCAGGAGTTTCTGAAAAAATTTAAATGTCCATCTATCTTGGCAGAAGCGCTCAGATTTATAGTTAGTTTTGAGGCCTTGCTGTTGTGATACTTTTGGCACAAGTGCCTTTCGGGAAGACTCCCCTGTCTCCTTGGGGGCACTGTACTCCTGTCGGGGGAGCTGTTCTGCAGTAAGCCTAAGAGGGCCTATTTAGATTATAGCACTAGGATAAACCTTCTGGCCCAGGCATCTTACCTTGGAGTTATATCTTCATGTCAAATGGTCTTGCTCAGGCCAGTGTCTCTAAATCAGCAATCTTCTCTCTGGCAACGGAGGCAAAAGTCAGTGATATTTTGCCTTTCTTCTTGCTGATGCTACTCCCTAAACTTGAACCTACTATTTAAATATACAGTGAGGTCTTCTTATTTTTTCCCAGTTCCTCTTTTCTGTAGAATGTATGCTATGGAGGTGGAGGCAGAGAGATGAGTACTTCTTCAAATCATTTCTCCATTTTAAGGGGAGATTTTAAAAATCTTACAAACAAGGTTATTCTATTTAAAGCCGAGGAGCTCATCTAAGGTGTTAACAAAAGATTGATTAAAAATTATCTTTTCCTATATGGTCGTTTTATCAGGCACCCACTCTGCCTCAATTCTAGGATGTCATTAGCATAGGAATTCATGGTGTTGGGTACAAAGGGAAGTGGTAAATATCAGGCATGGAAAAAAATGTAATCTGGAAATAAGCTACCTAATCTTGCTGAAGAGAAAATGGTCAGAAAGAAAAACTTAAACACAGTTTCGCATTAAGATAGAATGTAAGAGTACAGGCCAAAGATTAATATTATTTAGTTTGGAAAGATGAAGACTGACAGGCAGATCAATTTGCATTTGTGCAACCACCAAAAATGGTTGAAACAACAGGGTTGGTTACCATATCCTAGAAGATGATCTCATTATAAGACAATTTTACCACATAGGTAATACATTTGTGAACAGAGTCCTGCGTTTTCTATTTTCCTCTCTCTAATCTATCTCAGACAGTTTTTAGAATCAGCCTGCGTGCTGACCTCAGTGTCCTGATTTCTTTCCTGCTTGCTTTCCTCTTTATCTCTTCACCACCATTGGAGAAAATACATCAAAACGGCAGTGTGGCTTCGGTGGGAATCAGTTACCCACCGAACTGTGTTAGACTTAGAATTGTAAAGCTTTTACTGCTACTATAGCTTTATTAAAAATAGACTTAAGTTTTTGTTCTTAATTCCCTGGGGCTGTCACCTTCAACCTAAGAACTTGATCTTCTTTGCTTCGGGATAAGGATAAATTTTCAAACTTGCTACTGGATTTTAAAAGTGACTTTTTTGCCAGGTTTTCATATCCTTTGGGTTAATTTACAGATCTGGAAGTAACTCGAGATATTATTTGATCCGAGTCCACTAATTTGGAAGATTAGCAAACTGAGACACAGAGAGGTTAAGTGATTCACTACAGGTTTTCAACAAAAAAAGAAGCAAGGTCTCCTTTCATTGCCCTATGCAATTTCATTCATTAAAAAAGGGGGGTGTGGGATTTGGACCAGGATATTCCTCATCTCTCCTCCACCCGGTGTTTTCAAATTTTACAATTAGCAAAATTCAAAAATAACAAGTACATTAACCGCTAGTGTTGAATTCCCACCCTCTAAACATGCATAAGGGCTTGTGTTTGAGGAAGTAACTTTTGTGGTTTTGGTGATGTGACTCCATTCATTTCACTTTTCATATTTCATATTAAGTCAGGTGGTTTCAAGAAAACAACTTATTGAAATGGAAACTGTTTTATGTTGTTTTAATGGAAACACAGTATGAAATACATAGAAATGCAGAAGTAGGTGGTGTTGCAGAATCAAATACTTGAAAAATCTAGGAATTCATAAATGCGTATAAATTTAAGAGCTGAAGGAGACCAAGGATTTAATTTCGTCTATATGTGAAGAGACTAAGATTCATAGAGATATTTGAGAACTTGTCCTAGATTCCACTAGTTAATAAAAGAGTTAGGACAGAAATAACTTATACTAAAAAATACTGGTGTACTAATTACGGGCTATATAGTGATTGCATAAGATAGTATAGGCTAGAAAACAAAACCCTAGATATAAACTCTAACTCTGCTACTTGAAATATATACATATGTATATATATACCTCTGAGTCTCAGTCTCCTCATTTGCTCATTTGTAAGTGTAAAAAACCCACAAACCTCTCTTGAAGTATTCTTTTGAGGATTAAATGAGATACTGTACATAAGGGCTTCGCACAATACCTGACACATGGTACGTATTAAATAAATGATAGCTAATATTAATATTATGAAAGTTGTAGCAGAGAATACCAGCAAATCCGGTGGGGTGAAGAAAATCTCCGCACACTGCAATTCAAGAAACATATATTGAGTATCTAATGCATGCCAGATAGTGTTTGAACCTGGGCAAAGTAAATAATTGAGACTAATTGCCCTTAGTATTTACAGTTATTAAATAAGATACATGAATTGAATGTGAGGAGAGCTTATTTGAGGCCTTGGAAACAGTATACTTAAAGGCCCGGCAAAAGAGAGCGATGCTTCATTTGTCTGGCCCAATTCTGCACTTTTCGATGTCACTTCTTACCACATTCCAGCACGGTGTGAACACCAATGCAGGTACTAGTCTGGTTGTTTCCATTCCAGCTAAAGTCAGAATCACTTGGAGGTCTTTAAAAAACTGCAGCGCATTCCTCAGACTTAGTTCCTTTATTTAGTATTTACCAAGTACGTACTGTATTTTAAGAACTGTTCTTGCTACTGGGGATATAGAGTAAATGAGAAGAGTTTTGTTCTCACGTAGCTTACATTCTGGTGGGGAGAGATGGATAACAAACTACCAAATAAAGAAATATCAGCTAGCATTACAGTACTATGCAGAGTATTAAAACATGGAAATGTGATGAGTAATTAAGTGGCTATGTGATAGATGGGGTGATTGGAAAGATGTTTCCTTAGGTGATATTTAATAGGAATGGAACGACACAAAGGGGCCAACTGTGCAGTGATTAGAGGAAGTACATTACCCTGGACCTAACTCACATCCTGCTCCATGTCTGTTTCTTCCATATGGATCCCTTTTTATCTCCTATCTGCTCTTACTCTCCTAATTGAGTCTCCCTGTCTCTTGGAATCTTTGGTTCGTGACTTTTCAACTTCATTCCACAATTTATGACTTGCATTCTTCTCCTTGGCAGGGTCCTTGTTATGATACCATTCCCAGAAACAAGAATTCAGCTGTATTTAGGAGATGCTCTCCAGGGTTCTGTTTCCAGCCTCATTGGATGCGGTCTACCATATCAGGCTCCAGAACCTTTCCATGTCTAGATAGTGTTCCTGGAACTGCAGGTAGGTTGTATCTGGAGGAGAGGAAGAAGGCGAGGCTGGGAAGTTGGCCCAGATCTTGATTATGAAAGGATTCGGATTCAGGTTCAGTCTTGGGGGAGAAAGGTTTGGGGTTTAGGGCACAGTAGAGAAATAGACTTTCCACAGGAGTGAAAGAGTTAAGGCCTTGGATAGATTTGTTATTCTGCGAATTCAGATCTAAGGTAATCTGCTGCAAGTGATTAGAGGAAGGATTTCAGAAAGTGAGGAGGGTTTAGAATTTCCTATGAAAATGATGAGACATATAAACAGTTATTGAGTGGTGTTAAAGGTCTGTTTGAGATTAGGGATTACTTTTTTTGTGGGCCTACTCTCCTGGGAAGGGGAAAAATACCTCACCGTGCAAATTTTAAATTCTGAGCAGCTCACTCTGTTACATATACCTCCAGCTTGAGTACAGAAGCAGAAGCAGATTGTCAACGTATTCAAAATATAGATGGTTTTTAAGCTAATGCTACCGGGAGAGGAGGCCAGCAGAGTTGAAAGTGCTGGTAAGAGAGCTGTAGAAGTGATGCTGCTGGGGGTTTAGGTGGAAGAGGGAGTGTGTGAAGCCATGATGAGTTTGACAGATGGTGGAAAGGGAGAGTTTGTTTTTTTTACAACCCCATACTCAAGTTTCCCTATTGGCTTTCTTAAAGTCTATTCTCTGCACCCTAGGGTGGTCAGGTGCTGGCAGAGTGGTAGTGTCTGTACAAGTATAGAAGACTGCGATTCGAGTGTGGGAAATTGTAATTTTCGATTTTCAAGATGTAGCAGCAGTTCTGTGTGATGGTGAGGTCTCAAGAGTGTGGCAAAGGAACCGAGATAATAAAGCAGTCGTTGAAATTGACATCAAGAAACTTGAAACTAAGGTATTGAAAACTAAGAGCAGTGGGAAATCAATGAAAGGTTTTAGGTAAGAAGTGATATGGTCACAGCAGTAGTTTAAAAAGATAGCCCGGCTTTTGAGGTGAAGAATGGATTGGTGACAGGCAAGAGTGAGTCCCCCCTAGAAGCAGACTCTGAGACAAGGATACTCTAGGGCAAGTGGTTTATTAGCAAATGATCCCAGGAAACCCAGGTAAGGGTTGGGGAAGGGATGCAGGGAAGAACAGGAGCAAATAAAGGGTGAATTGTTAAGCAAGATACAGCTGTAGGTAATTAATGCTTAATCCCATTGACAAATTCTGAATAATGGCATAGAGCACATACCTCTGAGTTACCTGACCTGAGGGACAAGGAGCTGGGGTATTTGTATACCAACTCCTGTCAGTTATTGGTTGAGATGCTCTTAGGGGGGTGTCAATTTTTTCACATAGGAACAGAGTAAGATTCTGTACCTGAAGAAAGCTTTTATTTTTGGAAAAAAAAGTAGATTCTGGCACAAGGAAGTTTAGCTAGCAAGGACTGACATGGTAAAGACAAGGAATTATGAGTGGGCATCAAGGAGGATCTGCTACATCAATTAAAAGGCTATCTTATTAGTTCAAGCAAAAGATAAAGATGGCTTGGACTAGCGTAGTGGTTATAAAGATGAAAAGAAATGATAGGATTTAAGAGGGGCGTATATACTACTTTATTGCATATTTGTTCATGCTATCTGTTTTGTTAACCATACTTGTAAAGGTTTTACATTTTTGATCTTCTTTTAAAGTAAATTGTAAGCCCAAGATATCCCAAGAAGACAAGAATAAAGTCTGATATTCCTTCTCCTGACTCAGGATACTAATTATTTAAAGATGAAAGTCTAAGGCGATGCTCTCCAACAGAAATATTATGGAACATTAAAAATTTACTAGAGGCCACATTTAAAAAAGTAAAAAGAAATACAGTAATTTTGCACTTAACATCATCGATAGATTTTGCAACTTTAAGTAAAATGACAAATGATGAAACCA